GTGCAAATTGTTACAACTGCAAATACCCAGCCATATTACTGGAATTGTTTAAAAGAAAAAACCACTCCTTTACATGAAAATTACTCCTTAGCATAGACGTAAGGAAATGTTTTTATATGCAAGTACTGTAAATGTTTCATGAGAATATTATACAGTATTTTTTTTATTACTATATCAGTTCCGAAGTTTAAATTTCATTATTTTATTACACGAGTTCAGAGAACAGAAATCCTTATTAAAATTTAACTCCCCTCTTTAAGCGGGCGAAAAAGCAAGGCTTCCAGTAAGTAAACATGAACAAAAATAAGGAAATATCCTTTGATCTGCCGCAATATTTATTTATTTACTTTTATTGAAGCGCGTAGTAAAGTTTAGAGGGAAAAAAAAATAGTTTTATGACTGCGCCCGTGTAAAGAAAGTGTGAAATTTGTAAATACAGAAGAAATTGTGCAAAATATATTTTAAAGTTTCTTTTTTTTTAATTTTTTCAAAGCGTTTGGCAGTTTTTTAGCTGTAGCTTTATGGAAATTTGAACCTTCCGATTTATTCGAATTAAATTAATCATTAATATATTTAAATTAAATCGCTAATAATGCTTCTTTTAAATGCTTTTTTTTAAATATTTTTTTAAAAATTTTTTATTTAATTTATTAGAGATTGATGTAGAATCAAAATCAAATATTGTACCAAAATGGAAACAAAATAAATTTTACTAACTGAATGAGAATTAGTTCTTCATTAACTGTGTTATAAATAATGAATAACAATAAATAGTTAAAAACCTTTTCTAAATTATTCATTTAAAAAATAATCTTTCCTGCTTTTTTAAAGAATTTTTTTTTTTTTTTAAGAATGTTATGTTAAATATAACGCAAATAACTTAATGTGTCAATTTGTTTACCTATTAGTTATAATTCCTTAAGTTTATGAGTGGGATCTTAAACTTAGTTTAATAAATTACTAGTTGCATACCCGTTCCTCGTGCAGGGTGAAAGCAATAAGTAAATAACCAATGAATCAGTACTAAGTAACAGTACAAAATGATGCCCTAAATTGAAACAAGTATGTCAAAACTTTAAATAAAACTAAAACAAAATTTTTTATTTATTTTTACTTTTTGCCTTTTCCGGTGACTTTACGCTATTAGATTAAATAAAACACATTTTTAAAAGTTCATTTCTATCAAAATAAGGATCAACTCTATTCAGTATCATTTGGCATAATGTTCTTGTATGAGACCAACTTACGATAGTCAAAATTTACCACTATCAAGAGATTTTTTCCTGTTCTTATACATTTCGAAAGGGCCGTAAAATCCTCTTTATTATCTATATTAAACAGCAGTAAATATCTATATTAATAGGTATCAAATATACTAACATAATACTTTTACCTATATTAGTATATATTTGGTAACTATAGAAATTGGACCAATCACCTAAATACCAGTAATGCCTATTACGAAGCGTCAATAATTGTGGGCCGAAAATTTACGGATCCCAAAGTTTCCCAAAGTGTGGTACAAAATATCTTGCAACAAACGAAAATTTCAAAAATTTTTATTTAAAAACAAAACTAGCTATGAAAATTTACGATTACGTATTTTTCTATTGGTTTTTTTTTTTTTTGCAGAGTTAACAGTTAATAATTAGTGGTGTCAACAGCCAGTCGTTATTTTTAACTTTTGTGCATTTTTTTTAGTAAAAAATAAATCCATTTTTTCATTAGTGGTACACAGTTTTACGAAAAATTTAGAAAGGGTACACAAAAGTCATAACTTTGGGAAACACTGCCCTAAACGAATAAGTTACTTAAGGTATCCGACTACCTTTAAAACGAGGATTTTCTCAAAAAAATCACTTTTTTATTTTATTGCTTTATAATAATGCCCAATTTTTCTAGTTTTCAAAACTGTTTTGTTTTTGAATGCACGTAAAGCAGAACTTTAGTTATAGCTATTTTAGTAAGAGATGACAGCTGTCTAACTTACCGGAAATTACAAAAATGAAACAGGTAGTAGGTAATAGTTTCGGTTCCATTTCTATTTGTGTGTTTATTTTTCTTAGATATTTAATTTTTAAAAGCTCTTAAACTCTCGGCTAATGATCTGAATTATATTTTAATTAGATTTTGCGTTTCGTGGTTACTGTTTGTGGGTAACATGAAAAGTTAGCATATTTTCTGATAGTTTGTTTACATTTGAAGCGTACTTTCTATATCTTGATTTTGATTTGTTTTGAAGAAATTTATTGATTTCTTTCAAAAAAATTTGTGATTTATTTTGATAAATTTATTGAGATGGGCAAGGGACGCACTTCTCGATCTAAGAAACGTAAATATTACGGTAATCAACATGCCAACAAAAGCGATGATTTGAGTAAAGTTGATTATACCATTTATTCAAAATTGTGAAAAGCAGAAGAATCTATTACTTCAAGCTCTTCAAAATTATCGATTTCTATGGAAGTCAATAAAGAACTGATGCCTTTGGATAAAAACAATCTGTGTGGCAATCGAATAATTGATATTGAGATCCTGATGATGATATTAGCTTCATTATGTTGTCCGGATTGCTATGATAACAAATTGCATTTAGAAGAAAATTCTAGATTTGGGCTATTATAAATATTATAAAAAATATTTTTTACTTCTAATTATTAATAAAAACTATATTTAGACATATATATTAAAGTGTGAAAATACAGTAAGATGGTTGTTTAATAAAAAATTGTTCCTGTGTTAAATGCTTTATAAGTAGTAGACTTTTGATGTTATTCACTAAATACTTTAAAATATCGCTAAATAATACGTTAAAATATCGCTACGTTAAATAAAACTAAGAAAATGTGTGAAGGAATGTGCCCCCTATAAAATATAATAACTTCCTACATACAAACATTCATAGTTTATAGAAAAAATGTAATTATAAACTTTAATTGTGTTTTTCTCAAAATGAAAATTTTGCTGTTTTTTGTCTACGGAAAACAAGATAACTCAACTAATTATTATACATTTGTCTTCAAACTTTCAGAGATTGTTTCTTGTATTGGTGGTTATATAACAGACCTCCAGAATTCAGATAACTGNATAATAACTTTATGTGTCAATTTGTTTACCTATTAGTTATAATTCCTTAAGTTTATGAGTGGGATCTTAAACTTAGTTTAATAAATTACTAGCTGCATACCCGTTCCTCGTGCAGGGTGAAAGCAATAAGTAAATAACCAATGAATCAGTACTGAGTAACAGTACAAAATGATGCCCTAAATTGAAACAAGTATGTCAAAACTTTAAATAAAACTAAAACAAATTTTTTTATTTATTTTTACTTTTTACCTTTTCCGGTGACTTTACGCTATTAGATTAAATAAAACACATTTTTAAAAGTTTATTTCCATCAAAATAAGGATCAACTCTATTCAGTATCATTTGGCATAATGTTTTTGTATGAGACCAACTTACGATAGTCAAAATTTACCACTATCAAGCGATTTTTTCCTGTTCTTATACATTTCGAAAGGGCCGTAAAACCCTCTTTAATATCTATATTAAACAGCATTAAATATCTACATTAATAGGTATGAAATATACTGATATAATACTTTTTCCTATATTAGTATATTTGGTAACTATAAAAATTGGACCTAAATACCAGTAATGTCTATTACGAAGCGGCAATAATTGTAGGCCGAAAATTTACGGATCCCCTAAGCGAATAAGTTCGTTAACTCCATAAGTTAAGAACTTAAAGAATTTTGCTTATTTTTTACAGTTAGAACCTATTAACATAATTAATTAGCATTATTGACTTCAATAAAAGTATGGCGAATTTTTACTTTTCTTCTAAACGAATTAATACCATTTCTCCATTAATTTTGCTATTTAATAAATAGTTTATTTATTTTTTAATTTCAGTTATAGTACTTAGTACCAAAATTAAGCAAGCGTCATAGGCGTTATTAACAATGCCGATCTTTTACCTTTCTCCTTAACGATTTAGTACTCTTTATTTCTCCGTTAATTTTACTTTTCAGTTGATAACTTTTTTTTTAAAATTTCAAATACCGTTAATTTTAAGTTATTTAAACATATTTAACTGTTACTTATTTTAAAAATGATATATATTGACATATTATTACATATATTTAAATAATACATTTAATTACATATTGAAGAATGTGCAATAAAATCCTTTTTTTTAATTATTATTAATGAACGACATGTGCTAGTAGTCGTCATTGATGTTATCTTTTAAAAATAATTAATTCAATGGCTAATTGGCATGGTGACCAGTGAGAAATTTCTAAAATTCAAACGTCTCTCCCAAACGATATAATGAAAATTTTATCGCGATTTTTAGTACTGCCACTTTCAATCACTGTCCGAATTTCAGAATGCTAGCTCAAATGGTTCTAGAATTTATGAGACACACAAACAAGACTCGCAAACTCTGCATTTTATTATTACAAATTATTATTTCAATATATTTTGATTTACGTTATTTTTAATATATATGCTAGTTTATTCAAAAGTTGTTTAAAAATTTATTTTTTTTCTTTGTCAGAGAAAAATTATTGTCCAAAAATTTTTGCAACACATTTTTGTCATCTCCTTGTCATAAAAAATAAATGATGAAAAAAAAAGAGGTCTATAATGAGATAAAAAATTTCAGAATTTTTTTTTGTTGCATTTAAAGAAAGAAAGTTTAAAATTATAATCTCTGATGAAATCAACAAAATATTTCATTCTACCCTCGGCGGGACTCGAACCCGCAATCCCCGGTTTAGGAGACCGATGCCTTATCCATTAGGCCACGAGGGCGATGCCTTTTAACAAATTACTAGTGAAGAATAAAAAATGCAACAGTGAGATTTTTAAAATAATTTTGAGTTATAGAACATTTTTATTGCTAAAAATTCTATCAATTGATAACAATAGGAAGTGCTTTACTTTTAAATTAATTTTCATTTTTATAATTAATTTGATTTTTTTTCTTTTAGCGCAAATTGAAATCATTCCCTGTAAAGTTTGTGGTGACAAATCCTCAGGAGTTCATTACGGTGTTATTACTTGTGAAGGCTGCAAAGTAAGCTGATTTCACTTATAATTAATTTCAAGTTTTGTGTCATTTCTACATCTTGAATTAAACTTTCGTATTTACGCTTAATGACAACAGTATTGAAACTTTTTCCTAGATGACGCCACCAGCTACGCGTAAGTAAAAAATTAGGTGAAGTTAATATCTTCATCTTGGACTTTTTTTTCTTCTTAGTCTCTAACTTCCTGTTATTTACATTCATCGTAAGATGAAGTGAAAATATTAAGCTATAATGAGGAATGTCCTTGAACAAAGTTCATGTTGATTAAACTTAATGTTAATTTTTGTTACCGAGCGTTTGCATTTTATCAAAAATATTATCGTTTTAAACTTTTAAGAAAAATGTCTTCTTTCTCAGCTGTAGTCAAACCTCCTAACGTGTTGGTTTTTACTGCTGAAAAAATATATAAACACGCGGCCGAAAATCTTGGAAAATGTTTATGTATTGATAAATATCTGATCTATCATCTTAAGCAAGACCAAGTGCTTACTACACCTTGGATGGAAAATGCCGTTCTATTAGTGGTTATTTCGGACGATATCGAAGAAAATATCGTGAAGGAATTCATTCAGTTTGTGAAGAAGGGAGGTAAATTATTAGCTGTGAGTTCAAACATTAAAGTTCCAGGCATTTGCTCTTATGAATGCATAGAAGAAAAAATTGTTTCTGTTACTTATAAAGGTTTAGCAAATGCTGACCTATATCGTGGAAAGTACATGTTCTCAACTGAAAATGGATGCGTTCTTGCACATGACGATAAAAATAAACCAGTGATTTTCGAAGTGAAATTAAGTGATGGAACAATAATTATATCATCCGTATATTTAGGATTTAATATTTCTGCTTCAGGTACAGAGAAGCGAATAGAAAATTCTGAAGCCAATCTTTCAGTCTTAAAAAGTATATTATCTGAAAAGTTGAACTTAGAAGGTCACATTTCAGACATACCTGCACCATCATGTGGCTATGTGATTGTTGAAAAGGACGCACAGATTGAAGATATGATGAAATTTATGTCAATTTCAGAAATTTCGTTAGAAAAATCAATAAAATCATCAGCTGAAAAAGGTCAATCTTCTGACATTAAAGTTCCTTTGCTTTTTCATTATGATGATTTAAAACCTAGCCTCTTTGATAAATCAGCATATTTTTCTGCTCTAAGAACTAGTTATTTTGGTAGACCTGTAGTTTTTTTCCCAGTTGTTACATCAACTATGTACCCTGCAGAGCATTTATCTAATCACCCAGGCGTAGTCGTTATAGCCAGTCGTCAAATATCCGGAAAAGGAAGAGGCGAAAACATGTGGATAAGTCCAGAAGGGGCAGCCGCTTTTACTCTTCATTTTCCATTGATGCTTTCGTCGAAACTCGGCCAAAGAATGTCGCTTATGCAACACATGGCATCATTAGCGCTTGTCCATGGATTGCGAAAAAAAGATGGATACGAAAACTTAGAGTTCCGTCTTAAGTGGCCGAATGACATTTTTTATGAAAAAGACAAGAAGATTGGCGGTGTTCTTGTCAACACTACCATACAAGGCGATGTCGTTCATACTTACATTGGGATCGGACTTAATGTTGTCAATGTGCATCCATCAGTATGTGTCAACAGTGTTATTAAAGATTTCAATGTAAAGCATGGAAAGTCTTTAAAACCGTTAAAAGTTGAAGAAATAATTGCTTCCACTTTAAACGAATTGGAAACTTTGGTGAATGATTTTACCGATTCTGGTATTGCAAGGTTTTTGGATTTGTATTACAAGTACTGGATTCACCAAGACCAGAGTATCACCTTAGCCGGTACTAACGTAAAGGCAATTGTGAAGTCTATCGATGAATATGGATTTCTTATTGTTGAAACTGAAGATGGCAAAAAGCTGTCTTTGCAACCTGATGGAAATCGTTTTGACATAATGAAAAATTTAATTGTTGCCAAAGAGATTCATCTATAAAAAATAAAATTGAAAATCTTGTATGATTTAAAAAAAAAGTTATTTAATTACCTGAAAACGGAAGTTATTACCTGAACTGTTATTACAAATTTTTTTTGTATACAGTAACTGCCGAAGTTCTGTTTATACATACATGACCTTCTAATTTTAACTTCATAATTCAATTTGTTTTAAATTAATAAAACAAATTGTTTACCTGTAAATTTATTTTTCATTTGATGGTATTTTTTTTAAATTATGTTTTGCTTTGTTGTAGTACGTTTTTTTAATTGCAAATTTAATTACACAAATTTTTAGTGAAAAATAGTTATCTTAAAAGAAGCTGTGTCTTCATCTATAAATTGTGAGGAAGCTTTAGGTTCCTCTTCCGCAGCTTCTGTTTGTATATAAGAAATATACAATTATGATATATATATATTTACTTAAAATTGATTGTTATGACTTGTTAAGTTTGAATTTTTATTTTCAGGTCTGTTATATTACAGATTCTATTAATATTTGAATTACTTCTTTTAAGGAAATTTTTCTTACACAATCTTAAAAAGACATTTATATATTTTAGAAATATATTTTTATATTGTTTCAATGAATATATATGTATATATTTTTGCGATAGTTGAATTGCAAGTGTTTTTCGCTACATATTCATAAACTTTAATTAACTTTAAAAAGTCTAATTAATCTCGAAATGTTATTTCAGTTTATATATATATATATTATTCATGTTTGGTTAATAAGGAGTGCTTTGTTAATTTTTGATGTATTATACTGTTTTTAAGGCTTTGTTAATGTTTTAGAAAAACAAATAACTTTGTATAAAAAAATATATCTACTTAAGTTACTTGTTTTTGTTTGAAATTATCCAAATCTTAGTAAGTCTATAAAAGGAAAAATCTCCCTTTAATGTACCTTATAAATATTTTTGCATTTCTATTTTTTATAAATCATATTAGTGTGCATACTTTTTTTAAAGATAAGGTTTTTGTTCTTTGTTAAATATGAGAATTTTAAGTATGTTATTTGTTATAAAAAATATAAATAGTTTTTTTTTATTTATATTGATCTTTATTTTCAATAAAGTAGTTAAACCAAGAATAATCTTTTTATTTCTCCTTTGTTTGTTCACAATAATCAGTCTTCATCAAACATTAACAGTCAAATATTTCTTATTCATTTGATTACACATTGAATATTAATTTATTTTCTTTCATATTTTTGGGTTTCTGTTTAAATTTCAAATTCAAGCACTGTTTAAGAAAGTTAATACAGATTTCTTGTTTTTTCCAAGTGCGGCAAAAATAACGGTATATCCATTTATAAAAATTGCCCAATTTTATTCAGAATATTGTACATTTATTCGAAATACAAAATGTTTATTTATAATCAGGTTTGGCAAGGCATAGGGCACAATGATTAAAATTGTTCTATCCAAGATAATTTTTATTCAATTCTCAATTTATTAAATTATCTAATTTTTTAGAGTGTTTATAAGTAAAAATTTTAACTTGCAATTTATGAGAGAATATTTCCTTCTAAAACCTATGCATAAATAAGAAAATGGGAAAAATTAGTCTAATGGTTTTATTGATATTATTTAACTTCAAAAAGTACAAAATTTTCCAATTCTTTTTATCCATTTTTTTAAAGTGCTTGTATGTTTTTGCGTCGTTATTTTGTTAAATTTATTAGAATTAAGACTCTTACTCATATTTAAACAAATTTTTTTATAAATATTGGTTAATATTATTTTTATTTGATATTTCTTGAGTGTAACAAAATAAAAACTGGAAAATAGTTATTATTTTATTTATTACTTTGCTGATTTAAAAGCATTATTTTATAAGGAACTATTGGGAATAGGCATCAAAAATTCTTCATAGCTTAATATTTGTTTTTAAGATAAATTATCTATAAAAAATTATGAAGTATGAATACGTCAAATTTTGTGCAAATGGTTACACATGGAATATTAACAAATTTTCATGGTTTTAGTCAATTTAAGACAGTGAGACCCTAATACCCTTAAAAGCTATAGAATTGTAGAAATATTGATTAGTTTGTGTGTGTGCTTTCTTGGCATGATTCAGAAGCTTTTATTGTATTTAGACAAACATAAAGGATTATTGTTAATAAAATTTTTTTAGTAATTAAACTACCTAATTTAAAAAACATAAAAGCTGTTGAGTTATAGGGATTTTTATTACTTTGCTCTTATATACGAGAATTAAAAAGAAATTTATAAAATTACCAATTTAAATATAAAAAGGAAATACTACGGATGATCCATAGTTGTTGGCAGCTATGTTTAGCATGCCTATTCCAGGGATAAAATTATTAACCTGTCATGTGCTAATCTAAAGAATAAAAAAAGACGGCAAATTTTCTTACTAGGTTCTTATGTTTAGGTTGTGATGATTCACTTTTACAGTAGGTCTATATTTATATCTAGGTGATTCTATTAAAATATATTTTAAATTATTGATTTACTGTTTTGAAAAGAAGTATATTAATAGCAAGTATTTGTTTTATTTATATAGTTTTAATAGTGTATAATAAATTTATTTTTGTGTTGTAGTTATTTTGATAAAATTGATTGTTCTTAGGAAATTTGATACTTTCAGTTATTACTTGTTGAAATATTAACTGAAGTGTTATTATTTCTTGAATAATTTTTATTTTATTTTATTTATTTAGTAAAAAACAATGAGTTCAGTGTTAAAACAATTATTGACAATTGTTGTAACAATTAGCAATATTACAATCAAAAAAGTATTAAAGTAGTTAAAATTACATACAAGTTTGGATGTTATACTGAGTGTAACATCAAAGCTTATTATTTTATTTTTAATATCGTCAAAAACATTTAATTCTTTTTACAGATATAGTTTTCATTTAATTGTATTTAAGCAATATTTTAAAACTTATTTTAGGGTTTTTTCCGACGAAGCCAGTCCAGTGTTGTAAATTATCAGTGTCCTCGTCAGAAAAACTGTGTTGTTGATCGAGTCAATAGAAATCGATGCCAGTACTGCCGGTTACAGAAGTGTTTAGCACTTGGGATGTCTAGGGATGGTGAGTATATGACATGTATCAATTAACTTGTCGTATTATTTACTTTGTTGAATACATCTTTAAATAACTAAAAAGTTTTATGTGTTACTGTTTTTGTTAAACACTGCGTATCATTGCAGCGGTTAAATTTGGTCGCATGTCTAAAAAGCAGAGAGAAAAAGTGGAAGATGAGGTGAGGTTTCATCGAGCACAGCTAGTCCGTCCTCAGGGTACGACTCCGTCCCATTCGACGCCACAGCCCACAGAAACTTCGCCCGATAGTTCTGTTTTCGATCACCAGCAGCAACCGTCCTCATCCAATCAACATGTCTCCTACATTAACAGCGGGTATTTTAACAAGATAATTCTTTATTTCCAAAATGGTCGTATCTTTTCAAATTTAAATAAGTTTTTTTTTTCTTTTTTTAGTTTTATATAACAGAAAGTTGTTAATTTATTTTAGATTAGAAAATTGAACAGTCTTTAATTTTTAGAAATCGATTATTTTATTTTTCTAATCTATTTGAATTGTATATCCAAATATGAAAAGAAGACATTTTAATTCAAAAGAATAATTTGGAAAATAACTAATTAATTATTATTATTTTTAAGTTAATGCTTATCTCTGGTCATGAACTGAAAGTTAAAGAAAAACAAGGCACAATTATCAAACTTAATTTGCATCTAGGACTTGGAGCCAAAAAATTTTGGATGTTCAATTCCACCCCAGATAATAAGCTGAAGCTCCTGCTATAAGCTAAGGCTCTGACTATTTTACTTTATATTTATGCACTTTTTGAATTTAAAATTTTTATTATTGAAAGAATATTTAAACAATAGTATGATCATCAGCTCACACAAAAAGTGCGAACTTAATTTAATTCTTCGTGTTATGTCCAATTTCAAAAAAAAAATTTAGTCTAATGAATCTTACTTCAAATTTGATCATAAATCATTATAAATGTTTTTTAATGCTGAGAACGGCAACTTTGCTAACAGACAATGCATTACAATAGGCTCAGCTTCTTGAGTGTCTGTTAGATACAATGAAATTGTTGGAGCATGGGAAATTTTAGAGCTTCAGCTCCGGAGAAAACATAGTTTAGGAAAGCTATGGCTCCACGTCCCTGCTTTACACCACAGGTCTTAAATTAGTGTTATTTAAAAAATTCAGGTGAACAAGCATGGTTAGTGTAAAACAGAAAGAAATTTTTTTTTTCTTGTATTCCTATATATATTGAATCTGATTTTTTAAAATGTATTAAAATGTTTCTTAATTTGTTTTCACTGCTGTCTTAATTTATAAAAAGAAAAGGTTTCATTTTGTTATTGGCACATGTTCTTTTGCATACTGATCATGATAATGTACTGATTTAGTTATATTTAATTATTGATTGATTGATAAGTCATTTTCTTAAATATGCCTCTAATTGATAAAAAAATATCTAAATCATTAAAAGAAAATTTATCAGTCTTCCTTTTTTCTTTTTTAAGGGTAGAAGTCATAAAAATATAGATAATTCTATCTAATATAGATTATATCTAAATCATTAAAAGAAAATTTCTAAATCATTAAAAAATCATTAAAGGAAAATTATCTAAATCATTAAAAGCAAATTTATCAGTCTTTTTCTTTTTTAAGGATAGAAGTAATGAAAATATAGATAATTCTATCTAATAAAGATTCTTATCTAATATAGATTATTTTTCTATATAAATTTGTGCACAAAATAGATTTATCTAAAAAAAATTTTTTTGTAATATTATTAGTTTCTAACAATTAATTATTCATATTAAAATGTAAAAATTAGTATTGCTGTTTAGAATGTGAAGGGCAAAATTAGGACATTTTAATGCTTGTCAGTTGTAGTATTTTTTCAAAAATTTTAAATGATTAAATAAACCTAATATTATTAATGCAAGGGTATAATATGGGAAGCGTTTTAAGGTGCATTTCTAAAATGAAAGAAAAATTTAAGAAACAAGTGTGAATTAAATTAATTTTCAGATTATTATAAAATACTCGATGATTCTATATTTATTTTTAAAATAAACAACAAATAAATAAATTTTACAAGGTGCATTTTTGACGAAAAAGTGGTGTCTGATACACAATTTTTTTGTTGCCTTGTTTTCATATTTAGTCGGCCAGTGGCCATCGTTAATCTCGACCTATGTTAGAATGAACTTATTTTAGTTTGTGAAAAACATTTAATGATGTATATTTTTTAGTTTGCTTTTTTAATATTATTATTACTTAATTAAAAGTTGCATGCGAATTTAGTAAACAAAATGCAAACTTCAAAAAGAACACCATGTTTTTCTTTTAATTTCTTCTTTTTTGTAGGTATAATTATAATGGTGACTTAAACACATTTCCTGCTAATGGTTATACTTACACTCCACAAGCCATACAATTCGACCTTGGCAGCACAGATTTTGTGGATAGCACAACATTTGATCCTCAACAGCAGCTAGAGCCTATTGCAGACGCCAATAGTCTACTCATTACTGTAGTACCTCCTGGACCTATGACTACAAATTCCCATTTAGGTTAGCAGAATTTTCAATTTTCATGCTAGTAACACTAACCCCCGTATTCACCGTTGACTCTGACCTAGCGCGTAACTCCCAGTTACGAAACCCCCGGTTCGGAAACTTTGACCGACAGTTCAAAAGCGATTCCACCATTATTTTTTGACCGTCGGTTTCTCAANCTCGTTCCGAGGGTTATGGTTAGGGTCAATGGTGAATACGGGCGTAAGATGTGTATTATTATGCTGGGTGTCTCAAAAATATTGCAACAATGCTCTTAGGGGATGTAGGGTAAATCAAATTCAAAATTACATTGCAACCCATGACTGAAAACGTTGAGGGAAAGTGGTTATAGATGTAAAAAGACGAAAGCGAGAGTTTAATTGAACCAAGTTTAGGACATATTATAGTGTTACAGAAAAATTTTGAAGTTAGTAAAATCAGAGGCTAGACATACCTTTTGCTGATTTACCATTGATTGCCAAACACAGTCACATACAAGGAGTTTCTTTGATTGTAGGAGAAATGCTGACTGACTGAGGAAAGTTTTCGTGGTTTTTATCCCCATGTCACTCAAATGCGAGTTAGTTCTGTCATAAATTCCTATACGAAGGTTAATTTCTCACAACACTTGAACCAGGAGTTCCCTTGTCTTCTGGATTAGGTTGCTCAAAATTACAAGGCTACGGAGTTGAACATTAGTAGTCATAAGCCCAAAATTGGTTCAGCTGTTCAGTGATGGTTATAAAACAAAATTGTTGCTATGGCTGCAGTCGCTAAGGGGATAGAACATTCACTTCCCACTAAAGGTTACCCTGGTTGATATGAAATTTGCTTGCTCGAACCACAGTAATGACGTAAAATATCCTAAGTGGTTGACGATGTGGTTAGAATCTCCTTGGCACACCCTTGCTAACCATAGGAAGTTTTGGTGGTTTTTGTTTTTGTGTAACACAAATAGGTATTAGTTTCATCACTAAGCAATGCTTTTAATCTCTCTCTTTTTTTTTACCTCCTGTTTTGTATAAATAACTTTACCTGATTTTTTTTTTTTTTTTATATCTACATCTGTTTAGCTGAAAAAGATTTTATAAAAATGAATGCAACATTTAGTTGATGGAATCAAAATTTTATTTACAGTTTGATTTATCACATAAAATATTTTGTTTATGATCTGTTTTAATTTAATCTACAAATATGTACATATTATTTAGCTTTCTTATATTTCTTGCACTGAATTTTACATTCTGAACACTATAGTAATAAATGGCATATTTTGTGGTTCAGAAAGAATTTTGGGGTGTAGAATTTGGTCTGCTATTTTACTGTTATGATATAAGCTAAGTTATCCTTTTACTATGATTTGTGAAGTGAAAAAAATACAAGTTTTTTTTTATATTTTTGGGGTATTTATTTTTAGAGCTTTTGTAACATTTAAGTTGCTTTCCGAAATCTTAAATATCTGACTTTAAGCAGTTTACATACGTAGCCTGGCATATTTTATACCATGATTTAGCTAAATTTAGTGTTGTTCAGTATTCTCTTATTATTAACATTCACTTATTAGTTTTAATAATTTCTTTAAATTTTTACAAATTTGTTTAATTTTTAGAACTTTTAACGAAAACTCTCACCGAGGCGCACACGAGGACTTGCTTATACACAAGTGAGCAGGTTGCAGAAGTGTTTAGGAAACCTACAGATGTCACATCGATTCTTGTATACAAGAGCATGGTGAGTTTTGTAGAGTATTCTTTCATTAAGTTTTTGTTCATATTAAACTTTTCTAATACCATACTCTTACTGTGTTTTTCAATGCTGCATAAGTTCACTTTTTAAAACCCTGAATCACAGCAAATTAAGAAAATGATGTATCGATTTAATTTCCATGAATTTATCAAAATGTTTTAATGCTATATATCGTTGTTAGTTAGTGAAAAAAGGTAGAAGCTGGTACAGCCATTAAAGTTTTCTGATAAAATTAAAAGCTGCTATATTTCTCTTGGTGAGTTTTAAAAAAGCATGCACCCAGCTGATTGTATTAATTATTTTACAATGCTAAACCTATATACTAAAAGCTTATATTACTATACACTCTAATTCTTATAAGATAATAATGTTAAATTATTAAGTTTTGTGATTTATGTTAGTGATTTATTTTTTTACTGCAGATAATTGTTACTTAAGAAATGATTAAGCCTTTAAAAAGAAGTATGTGTTTTAGTAAAGTAAAGGGGAGAAAAGTTTCAATTATTTGTTTAAAAAATGTTCTGAGTTCTATACTAAAATTCTGTTCTGTACTTATGAAAATGTTTTGATTTCAAGTTTTTATCAAGTGTTTGATCAAGTTTTTATTTGTATTTTCTGTTGTGCTAATTACGAGAAATTTCTAAGTGTAATTAACTAAGTGATTCAATTATTTAATAAAAGTTTATTTCAATACTATTTCCTGTACAAAATGTAAACTTCACAATATCCACTCCACTCAGATGATTTAGTTTCCTTTTTTCTGATAACTAATAAATATTAATTTCAAGTGATAGTTTATCGTATGATATCTTAATGAATTTGAGCAAACTAGTTTATAATCAGCAAAACTGAGAAATAAATAAAAATTGTGCCAGCTTCCTACTGTTAAATTCTATTAATCTTTAACGCTCTTTTAAACTGTTTGCATCATAGTGTTCACAATTTTGACTTTTAAATTTTTCATCAAAATGGAAACTTATCAAAGTTGTTCTTGACTGTCAGTTCCCAAATGAATTTGAATTTGTATCCACTGAGGTCTTCAAATTAAATTATTGTTGCATAATTAAGACTAAAGTTATACATTTCTTGGAGAAAATTCAGTTTTTTCAATATTGTAATTTAAAACCTTCCTACTAAGCTTTCCAATTATTGAAGATGATTACGTTTTCCATAAATACCTTATGATAGTAGAATTTTCAATAAAATATTTTTAAACCAAGAACAATTTAATTTTACTGCTATGCTTTTATTGTTTATACATAATTTGTCAAGAAAATATTTTCAAATACATATTGAAAATTTAGTTGATTTTATTCATCAATTTTCCTCTGAAAAGAAAAGTTTTAATTATATTTTACAGATAATTAATATTTATGTTCTCTTTTTTTACTACTGTCATTTCTAGGAGGCATTATTTTCATCAATAATATTGACATTTGTGTTTCTTCTTTCACAGGATCATGAACAGCTATGGCTAGATTGCGCTCAAAAACTTACAAACATAATTCAACAGTTGATAGAGTTTGCCAAAATGGTACCAGGGTTCATGAAACTTTCACAAGACGACCAGATCTTATTACTTAAAGCCAGTACGTATTTCTACTATAATCATTAAATCATATCTTTTAAACATTATTTGTATAAATCCATTTATTATTTATTTCATTACATAACAGATCTTATCTTTTGAATTTATTTTTTATGTTTTTTTTTAAACTAAAAATGTATACAGTGAAACCTCCTGTTATGGACACTCCTACAAAACGGACACCTCTAAATATGGACATATTTTTAATTCCCCGAAAAGTTTCTATGAAAAAACCATTATGTATGGTCTCCGCAATGCGGACACTCCCTTAACAGGACGCGGACAGTCATTTTTGCCCTGAAACGTTATTTTCTACCTCTTCAAATCGGACACTNCTTTAATAGCATGTTTTAAAAATTTATTTTCTTATTTAATTGTAATGATGATGTTATTTTTTAATATTACAACATTTTTATAATATATTTATTTTCTAATAAAAATATTTGCAATTGCTTTAAAACTAGATATTTCATTTTGAAATTTTATAAGTCTACCAAATTTTTATGAGGACAATTCAAAAAAGAAATCAATGCATTGTTATACTTATTTATTCATTTTTATTTCTATTAAAGAGAGATTGAAATTTGCATTAATCTTTGAATTTTCATTCTTACCATTCAGTATCTACTTTATCAAACTGAAAGGATTCTATTAGTTTTATTAAATTATTTTATGAATAAATATTGTTTCTTTTCTTTACAAGTACATTATTTGTTGTATAATGTATTGATTAATATTATTTGCGTAAGAGGTTCTTTAAGTATGTAAATATAGAAATATTGCAATTTTTTAACCATAAGTTTGTTTTTATGCTTAAATTCATTTGATTTATTTTTCTCATCAGTCAAAGTTTTTCTGAGATCTGGCAATGCTGCTATCTTAAACTTTTTATTAGTTTATTTCAACCTTTTTATTTTTTCTTTTACTTAAATTTTGCTTGCCTTCTAAATAAATCTGTGTTTCTATGAGTTAGGAAAACAGAAAATATCTGAAATTGTCTTAAATTTTTTTTCTTTCAAATTTTTGCCTGTGAATAAACCCTATTACAAATCTGTTGAATGATCAATCTAAAATTATTTGAAATTTTAAACAGCCATTGAGACCAAATTTAGATAATTATCTTACTACTTAAAAATTGCTTAGCAAAGTGAAATATGTATGAGTTAATGTCATTTAATGATATCTATTTTCTTAATGACAGTCAGAAAGTTAATGTAAAACCAACGACAAACAGTTGCATATTTTTTTAACAAGATACTTATGAATGCAAGCATTTTTTTTCCAGAAAAGTTTTGTTCATAGTTATATATATGTGCAGTAGAAGATTTTATATTGCTAATCTTGAAATCAGGGGCTTTGCGTTTTATAGAATTTTGTGTTATATAGATCATTTTAATTATCATTAAACTTTCCTATTAATCATGTCTGCAATATTAGTCTAGAACAGGTTGCCTGGCTGGAAATTAGTCTGGGTCTGGAATGCTTTAAAATAATTTTTAGATACAAATATTTACTAACACAATAATATGCACTAAAGTACTTCTTACTCGCATGAGAAAAAATTGAAATTTTCTGGAGCATTAAAACTAATAAAAATGTATGTATTTTGGATTGCTTAGCCTTTGAAATTATTACCTCTTATCAAATAGGTAAATAAATATTGTAAGAAGTTAATTTTTTTTACTCATTTACAGAAATTCTTAAGCTGCAATTTTTATCGTTCACTTCTGCAAAAATTAATGGGGACATGGAGAATTTCAATTTATAATATTGTATTATATCTATTTATATATTTATTGATTTATTGCCTTAATACGTCTTTATTTGTTTTAGTTATCAAATTTTATGTCTAAAACTAAAAAAAATATCCCAGATACATATTTAATTTTGTTTATTTTCGAATTGCAGGTAGCTTTGAAATGAGTGTATTAAGAATGAGCAGGTATGTTGACACACATTCTGGCTATGTAATGTATGGAGAGGTTATGATGCCATCAGAAGCTTTCACTACAGCAGGTAATCATCATCATAAAAATTTCTTCCATTTATTTCTTCTTAGAATTAAAATAAAGATTTTTTTTTTTTCTAATCAAGGAAAATATTCATGAATGGGATTGGATTTTTTGTGTATCTTCAAAATTCTAATTTGATTTTTGATCTGTTATTTATTTATTTTAGATGATTTTTTTTCATATCTTTTTCATTCAGTCATTAAAAAAATTTGTTTATGATGATGAGTTTTCCTATAAATAAATCCTTTATTAAAGAATTAAGTTATGTCGTAATTTCTTTTCCTCCAATTTTAATCTAAGCAATGTTTTTTCCTAAATTTATGTTTTATTTATTTATTTTCGAAATAGTTTGTTTTCATCTTATACTATATATTTATGTGTTAACAACAGCTGTATGAGTACTTTTTTTATTTGAAAAGAACGCAAGTTATACATATATAATGTAGTTATATATCTTTCAATGCTAGAAGTTTACTTTGTTTTTACAGCTGCCTCCAATGTGTATATTTAATTTACTTTAAAGTATCATAAATCCTAAAATTGACTCATAATCATACTTATTGTTTGTAGAGAAAAACTATAATAATGCAAGAAAATTATAAAAAAAATAATTTTTCAATTAATGGTGATTAGAGGACATTTATTGGAATCAAAATGAAAGCAGAGTGGGCCTTTTTCTCAAAGAGCTTAAGGGGAACACTATATATGTATATATATATCAGGGCTCGAAAAACCACCCGTCCTCAGCGGTCAAAAATTCCCCGCGGGCAGCGAATTTCTCGATTCCGACGCCCGCACGGACGGCCATTTTCCCGTTAATATTCGTGATACATTTTCAATTTTTGTTATCTCACAAAAGTCTAGCGCCTCCCTTCCTAAAATGACTCTCTAATCTAAAAATACAGCAACATATTTAGAAGCTACGGGTTAGTTTCAAAGAAGGATGGGTACATTGTTGGACAAGCTGTCCCCGGGGACAGGTAAAATTTCTGAGTTTTTTCAAGCCCTGATATATGTATATATCAGGGTTGGGGTTTTGGACGTCCTAAACTGGTTTTGGACAGGACACGTGGGTTTTACTGTATTATACTGGGTAAAACTGTCCTAAACTGGATAAAACTGTCCTAAACTGGGTAAAACCTTGAACTTTGGTAAAAGGTAAAAAATTCTATAGGTGTAATCATTTTACACATAATAATTACATGTATCAATAAATATTTGATATTTTTTGTACAATTTACTTTAACTTATCAAAAGAAAATAATATAATATAATAGGCAAAGGTTTATAATTTTTGAAACTCCATAATTCATTGAACAACAAAAGTGAATACCTAATCCTTTAAATATAAATATGCTTTTAATACTGATAAATAATGTTTTTTCATAGGGATAAATAATGCAATATTAAAAAATAAGGATTCTTAAAAAAAAAAAAATACTAAATTTGTTTAAAAATTAACCTTTTATTTTTCACAATATTTTTTTAAAAAAATGTTATAATTTTTGCATCACAGGATGATAAAAAAGACATCTATTTTTAAAAAATTTGTTTTTAAGTATAAATATATTAGTTTAAATTGAAAATACAAAATAACTGAAAAATGTATTAACAGTTTTGAAGGGCATAACATCAGTTTCAGTTACTGACACTGGTGATGTATCACCACTATGCTAAAAGAATTGAACATGAATGAAATAAAAGTATTCTTGAATAGTACTATAGATAAATAAACCTGTTTATGACGAACCAAGCACTTAGTCCCTAATATTTTAACCTGTATGGCAAGGCCAAACTTCAGTTATGTACTATTGAATGAGAGGACCAATTGAACTTGATTACTGATTAATCTTCCTTTGTTTAAATTGAAGAGTCAAACAATATTAATAAAACATTATACTTTTAAAAACAAATATTCTCTGGTATATTTAATTATCAATATGTTATTAGTTCTATGTTTATTTTACCTCTTAAAATAGATTCAGATAAAATTGTGACATAATTTGTGTTAAAGGGTTTTGGACAGTTTAAGACAAAGGGGTTTTGGACAGGACGGTTTAAACCGTGGATTAATCCATTCTGTCCTAAACCTTGCCAACCCTGGTATATATATATGCTGAATATAAATCCTTCTATTACTGCTTAAATGATCTTCTACACGGATTTTCAAGTGTCAGTTTTTTCTACATTTTTAATTATCTTTGATTTAATAACATTTAATGAAGTTTTCACCAAATATATATGTAATTTTCTATATAAATGCATTTTAGTGTCGTTAATTGATTTTTTTATTAAAAATTTTGTGTCTAATTTTTTAAAATTTCTTTGTAGATACATCTGAAATGAAATTGGTTAATAATACTTTTGAAATGGCTAAAAGTATTGCGGAGTTGAAATTGACAGAATCTGAACTAGCTCTATATTCAGCTTCTGTATTACTTCAACCAGGTATTACTTTTTTTATCATCTGTAATTACCTCTTCATGTTTATGATTATTCTGCAATACCTTATTAATATTTCATGAAAATTATAAAATAATTTAACATTTGTAATCGTTAGCTTTTCTTAAGTAATATATCTTTCTTTCCCGCTGTATTATCCTTATTATTTATTCACTTTTTGTTTAATATAGAATGACAGTTTTGTTAATATAAAATCTCACAGCCTTCATTATTACAAACATTAGTTCATATCCACTGTATCCAGTTTCATTTTCTGCAGTTGCCACATACTGAATGCACTATATTTTTATATAATGTTAAAGCAACATAAATGCAGCATATTAAACAGCAAGCATATAATGCAGCATATTTAATTTTTAAAAATGAGCTGAACACATCAGCCATAAACTGACTTGGTAAGTCTAGCTAGGAAATAGGTATACCTTATTAATTAACACTATATATTGAACATATTCTCTTTAATAATAGTTCATTTAGAAAAACTCTTCGTGCACAACATTGTAAAATGATTCCTTGAGCTATAAAATAACAAAAACTAATCAAAACCTTTTTTCTTTTTCTGTTGTATACACTTTTATTCTGTTGTATGTTTAATTACAGATCAGGGTTGACTTTTCTGAACAAATAAAAAGTGATTTTCTTCCTAATTTTTGGTCATTTGTCGTGATATTAAAAGGATCTGAACTTTCATATAGTGCCCTCTTTAGAAATCTACTATTTTTTATTCTCAAATCAAGGAAATCTCAATTTAAAAATAACTTGCTGTTTTTATAAAAATTCCAAAAATTTAGCAAAAATAGTATAATTTTTGTTAAAATATTACCTTGTTGCCATAAAGAAATTCTAAATTATGAATCTTGTATAGAATGCTAATAGTATTTTTTGAAAATAGGATTCCAGTTCCAATTATCTTATTTTTATTTCAATTATCTTATTCTTATTTATATGTGTATCAATATTGCATAAGCATATAAATTAGCATATGTTCATTAAAGCAAATAATAATGAGTCATAATATTATTTACAAAATGTAGAAGTATGCATATCAAATCTTGATTAATCAATAGAGAAAGAATTAAAAAAAAATATGGTTAAAAATGAATATTAACTACAGACATTTTGTGCCTCTTTACACCCAGAGCCCAGTCTTGTAGGCTTGTGCTGTAATAGAGCCTTCTGTTTTTTTGTAAAAGGAAGATTTGCACCAAATGTTTAAAATATATTATTAATATAGATATCTGTTACAATACTAATTGATTTTTAATTTGCTCTAAATCTTCATTCTAATTTTCTACTATATATTTTTGTGCTAAATGTTTGTTTTAATTTTTTGACTAAATTATCAGGCTCCAAATGTTTCTTTCTACAATTTTAACTGTATATGTTTGTTTTTTTTCCAGACCGTCCTGGGCTAAAGAATATTCTTGACGTACAAACTCTAAATCAAGCAATATTAAAGGCCTTAAAGTATGAACTTGATCAGACTCATAAGCTACCATATAAAGGAGATGTCCGTGCATTCGACATCCTGATGGGAAAACTGGTCGACCTGCGTGATTTGAGTTCTTTGCACATGGAAACACTGGCCAAGTTCAGGTGTTCAGCACCACACCTCGAATTCCCGGCTCTTCACAAGGAACTCTTCTCGATTGAAAGCATGTGATCATTTCCTCCCATCATTTCTTCATTTTCTGTACAGTGCCAGAGTTTAAAGTATTAAAATAAAGGGTACCTCAGCTTTTGTTTAGCTGATGAACTCAAGTAAATGGCAAAAAGAAGGAGAAAAAGAAAAAATTCGCCATCCAGAAGTTCTTCGAAATTCATTTTTATTTTGGATGGATGACTAATATTATTAATTTTTTGAGAATTTAATAAAAAAAGAGAAGTTATTTTCCACTCGAGTAGCAGTGGAATTGTACTTTATAAAGAAGCGTGGCTTCCTCCTCATGTACAGCTTCATCATGTGACTTCAGCACATTTATCAACCGGTGAACTGCGATATCTGATTTGTTGAGATATCAAAACGGTGCTGTCATTCCTTCGTTTACAATGTTACATCGACAAATACCATTCATCATTGAAACTTTTTTTTAGAATAGGAGAAAAAATGAGGTTTATTTTAGAGATGAAATGTGATATGGAAGATACTATGCGTGGCTCTTAGCCGAACAATTTGTTCCGATTAGCTTATGGTGTAGGTTTATTGCTATCAATAGTAAATATTTTGTACAAAATAATAGAGAGCAGGGATATATATTTCTGAGAGAATTAATTTGTTACGGAAACGATTTGGTTTAACTTTGTGAATGCCGAGATTTTATTACTGCCAATTTTGTGCTCCGATTTTGTTCTCGATTGGTGATCGGTAGTTTTATAGTAGATATTTTTGGCTCACTTATTTATATTGCACATTTAGTGTTTTTAATGTTAAACTTGTTTCATGTAGACTGTCTTAACGATGCGAATTTTGTACAATGTCTTAGTATTTTTCAGAATTTTTTTTTTGTGTTTGACCATAGAGGGCTGCTGAACAATATTTTTGGCTCTCTTGCCTTGTACAAATTATTTTATTATAACTGATTATAGATTGTACAGAGCTGATTATTTCTTGGGTTAGAGTTGTTTCCTATTTTCACATTCTTTTCATCTTGTATGCATTTTTTTTAAAAAGACATACAAAAAAAGCTGATGCTTTTTCTTTTCTTTTTAATTTTTTCTAACTAAAGAGCATTTTTTATTCATACTAAAGTACTTAAACTCATACTGTAAATACTTACATATTGAAAGCTATTATATAAAGATTTTATTATTGTATGAAAAAGATGGATTCTCGAATTAAGGCTGCGAATGTGAATGGAAAGTGCAATATTCTAATAAAACTATTTTTCACATCTCTTTGTTTGTTTTACAATTCAGGCATGAAGAGTATGGTAAAAAAAAAATTTTGTATAATAATTTATATAATATTATATTATATTTAATATAATAATTTTTTTCTTTTCATTTTATCTAAATTTGTTAGCGAATTTCTCCCTCTATGATCTAAAGTTTATAATTTTTTTAAAAAATGGTTATTTAAATATTACATTTTTATTAATAGCTGTGACTAAAAGATATTTAATTATTCAAATTAAAAATTTTTGTATTAAAATACATTAATTTTAACATAGTGTTATATTACATATCAATATTAATATGTATTAAAAAAAGTAATTTTAGGATACATCATTTAAGATTTAATAAATTAGTTATTTTGATTGTTTAAACGCTAAATATAAATAGTAATATAAGTAGCTCTTAAATGCATATATTTTTGTGTATTCTGTTGTAAAGTAATGGCAATAATACTATCAAATAAGAGGAAATAATTTTAAATGTAGTGAATTTTAAACAAAATTTTTATAAATGTTTCACAATGTAATTGTCTAATTTAATACTATAAAATTTAATTTTTTCAACAATGCAAATTACTCTTCATGTTGAATTATAAATGCTTTTTTTTAAAATTATTATTTTACTTTAATGTAACTTCTTTAGCCTGAAGCACATCATTAACATTTTATTTATTACTTTATGTAAATTTTATATTTCGAATTTATTTTGTGTCATATTGTCATTATTTAATGAAATACTTTGTGTAAAAATTGTCATTTTGTATATGTGAATGAATTGATGCTTTTCTGTCCCCAAACAAAAGGAAAGGCAAATTTTTTTATATGACTTTTTCACTGCCATTTGTGAAACTGGTGCATGTTCGACTTTTAAAAACAATAATAGTAATTTAGATATTTTTCCCCCAGTTTTAAAACATAAAGAGTTTTAACTTACTTAAAGAAAGCACAATACAGGTCACAACTCAGTTTTTTGGAGAAAAAAATCCTTTGATAGAAATAAGTTTAAAAAAATATTAGAATTTATTTTATATTTATTAAAACATCAAAAGTCTTCAAAATTTGGGAGGTTGACTATTTATACTAGAACAGAGACTTGCTATGGCATAAACTAGCAAACTGAAATATTTTTAGTGGCCTTTCTCTATAAAATTATTAATAATTATTATTAGTAATAATTTTAAAATATCTTATTTCACCTTGTTATATGTGTATATTGAATAGACATTAATTAATTGTTTCACATCTTGAAATTTATTTATTATTTCTTCCATGATTGTGTAGTCATTTGCTTGCAGAGAATTTTTTGTACACAAAAAAATATATTTAATAGAATGTTTAAATGATAGTTACCTATCATTTGCGGCCTTAAATATTTTTGTTACTAGAAGTTAGTGTTAAAAATTTCAAAGTATAGAAGAAAAAAAATTTTATAAATTAGAAACAAAAAATATATCCTTTTTTTTAAAAAGAAAATAAAAATCTGTGGTTCTCAAACTTTTAGTATGAGAAGAAATTTAGCAGAGGTGAAACACTAAATTACCCGTCTTGTTCTAAACAGAGAATATCTTATAATGTATTACCTTTACGTTTTAATCAAAAACTATGTCCTGAATGTTTTATTTTTCAAGCAGTTGTATATATATCAAGGCCTGCGCTAAGGATTTTAAATTATTAGCCAAATATCAAAAGTATTCGGCAATTTTTGAAAGTCTTCACTTAATGCAAATTTTAAAAAATTTTTATCATTAATTTTTTTCCCTATTGAAAACTTTTTTACGGTAGTTTGTTTCAGACTTATATTATTTGAACCCGATTCTAATTGGTTATGAGGCGCATCTACTGAAAATTACTGAAATTGAATAAAAGAATACAAATTTGTTTATAAAAATTCATTTTGAGGATCGAGTTATATATATATTTTTCATTCCAGCGGAAAATATCATTTGCTACAACATGATTTTATTTGCCAAATTTACGATTTTATCACATTTGGCGAGGTGGCAAATGCTCAGCACAGGCCCTGTATACATATAACTATATATATTTATATATATATATAAAAGATAAATTGCGCTATACTTTATATTGAAATTAAAGTTTTAAAAAATTTAACTTGAGATGATTTCTTAATAAACGTTTTGTTAAAAGCTGTTACTACCTTTTGCACATTTTTTGAAAAATTGAACCTAGTAATAACAAAAATTATTCGATCATCTTTGTAAATCAATTATTCTATTGATTTAAATTGGTTTTTATCACAAAACTGCACAACTATTTCAAACTTGCACTTGCATACAAATTACAGGATAATGAATTGATCGTTTTGAACTAGTTAAATCAAAAATAATTATGCTTATTTAAATCTATGTGAGTTTTTATTTTACTATCACTGGTAATATCGAGTTCCTACTACTACTTTTAACTAAACATTGATAAGATATGTATCATTGTCAAATTATAATTTAATGAATATGTCTTAAGTAGTTCACAATGTAGTTCAAAAGTTTGTGACAAGCAGATTATTATCACAGTGCCCCATACTTGTTTTAATCTAGCATGGGTATTTTAATTATAATAATCATACAAATTTCCTTTTTTTTTCAGAAAAAAATTTATTAAATTTTAGTATTGAAAATTTTAAAAATTTTATCAGACGCCACAGGTATTCAATTTTTGGGAAGGATGGAAGTAAAATAAACTATTACAATAGCTTTTTAAATTTAACATGCGAAAAAAATACTTTTTCTTCTATCTAAACTTCTATTAAAATCTGATTATTTTTATGTCTTACTTTGTATTGAACTTAAATAAATTTAAATCCATAGTGGTACAGGAATCTTTATTAGTTTAAAAATATTAAGATGGTCTTTTAGCGATTTCATATTTTTAGACATACAACCACATGCTAAGGATGCTCATGATTCAAAAAAGGGAAATAATAAATATATTAGAAAAATTCTTTTAAATTTTTGTTAAGAAATGAAATTTTTTAAAAAAAACTTATAATTGATTTCAATAAATTAAGGGTTAATTCAATCTAAGTGATCCATTTTTGTTGGGATTCTGCAAAATCTTTTGTCAAAAGCCTCACAAAGTCTGGTACAGTGAAACCTTCAGGGATGACCATCTCTGTGTTGCGACCTTCTCTATTTAAGATCACTTTTGGGAGGCACAGAATTTTTCCATAGATTTTGTATTGAAGAAAACCTTTAGAGGAGACCATCAAAATCCCTCCCAGCGACCGGGCAAACCACTGCACCAAATGTGAAAAGGAAGGAAATGCGAAAAAATATCAAAATAAGAAAGTATAAAAGCAAATAAGTAGATTCAAATATATTGAAAATATTTGTGAGTGTTTCTTGTTTAGAAAGCTTTTTTTGACAATATCAGAAAATGATTGACAGCTTCATGTTACAATCAGAGTGCACTAAATACGATGCTATCCGTATCAAGTTGAAAGTTACATTAGAAAAAAATTTATTTTAGAAAAAACTAAACATCTGTAACAAGCAAGCTTTAAAGCTAACTTAATTTTTATGATATGAAAACTAAATGCAAACTTAAACAAAAAGCGTATTTGTTCATTTATTTAAAATAGTTCTAACATTCATAATTGGTAAATTTGTTTTTGCGCATAATCATTTCAGTAGTGGTAATTTTTATTGCCGCTAATTTTTATTCACGGATCTGGTTTTCACAACGCCGGCACAAGTGGCATTTCCGCATCAAGAAAATGACACTGAGTCAAATTAAAATCACTTGCGGAAAATCACAAACTTTCGATACCATGTTGAAGTCAACGGGAGTAAACCTCTAAGAATAACCAAACTCCATTAAAGACCATTTTACTGTGGGACAGAGTGGTCACTCCCGAAAGGTTTCACTATGAATGTTTTAGTTTGAAATTAAAGAAATTTGAGAACCACTGATAAAAGGGGTAATTTTGCATTTTTTAAGATAAAATTGTTGAAAAATTGTTTTTGTTCTCAACTTTACTTTTACATTTCTTCACAAGTGCCTCTAAGTTGTTTTATAAGTATAGCGAGAGAAATTTATTATCAGAAAAGTTTTAGATTATTTACAATTAATTTTGTGAGAGTTAAAAGTGCATTTTGAGAGAGAATTGTTATTGTTCATACAAACATTTAGTGTCACTAAATTTATAGTGTCGTAGTTTTCTTAATGGTTAAAAATTTTATTATATATTTTATCTACTTTCTTAGAAGAAACTCTAACAAAGTTTAAAACTTTCAAATCTTGTATTTAAGTTTTATAGAGGCTGCATGAAACTTGTTTTCTGCCTGTAAATGTACATTGTATCATGCAGTTTTTAACGTACTTGTAAATTACATTTAGCTATTTTAAATTATTATATCTGTGTAGTTCAAATTTTTATTTGTGTAATTTTTTCGAACTTATTTGCAAAATGTGTATATTGGTATTGTGTCGACATATGTTTTTAAATTATACTATTTATTTTTAGAGCCTTATAGCTTCTTTTAAAAATTAATATTAAGTATTGTATTTTAAATTAATTGTTTTAAAATGTAATCATATTGGTGCTCAAATATATTGTTTTTTTTTTTTTTTTTTTGGACAAAATAAACTCATTAAGTTATAATTGTTTATGTTTAACTTATAAATCTGCCTTGAAGATATATAACATTCAGAATTATTTAAGGTAGTTGTGATTGTTGTTTGTTTTCCCAGAATGTTCCGTTTGTATTTAAGAAAAGTGTAAGCATTTTATTATTCTTTTGGTGTAAAATACTTTTTTATTGCAAAAAATAATTTTTTGTTGGTGTGTGTACAGAGAAGACTTGACTTTTGTGGTGTCCTTGGACTTCTGTAATATTTTGAAGATAACTATATTCATGAAGAAGGTTAATTATATTTTAAGATAGTTCATTCTGAAAGAGAGTAAGCTATATATATTATATATGTATATTACCATGCCAGGTCATGATTGTTGAAAGTTCATTTGGAATAACTAGAGCACTTTTAAGTTGGGACAATAATCATTTAAGTTAAAAATCAATAAACTTTAGTGAAAATAATAGTTTCAATTATTGGTTCAAAATAAATTATCAATTAAATAAGGTGGGAAAATATTAACAAATTAAAAAAGTGATTTATCTTTTGGTATATTAAATAGGGAAATCCAATTCACGGCAAAATCTTTTTACTAAGATATTAAATTTAGCAAATTTTAATTTTGTGAATTTTAATATTTAAATAGTCATTTTTAAGATCAATGAATATCTGAAAATTTAAATTTTATTCCTTAGTCTTTTCAGAAAAATGTTTTTATTATTATTATCATCAATGTATTTTAAAAATAACAGAATAGCTTTTTGTGAAATTTTTTATTGATTCTCTAAAGTTTTTAAGCATGCTAGAAACAAAATTTCGAAAAGAACTTTTATAGTTTGAAATGTGTAAGTTTCTGCTTTATTACAGTAAGACTAATTACTATAATAACGAAAATAAATGTAAACAAACAGTTTTATGCTGGGATCTTGCATCACCTTGGATATAAAAGTAATTGAAACCTGTTCTAGTTTTCAAGTTAGTGATGATTGTTTTTCTCTTAACTGATCTGTTGTCTCAATTGGGAAAATGAAAAGGTGCTCTTTAATGTCTGCCTCATTGTTGGCCCTCCTGTATAAATAGCTATAATAGATATTGTTAGCCATACAATCTTTTAATACTGTTGACAAACAAATAAAAGAGATCCTTATCTTTCTTCTCATATTTTGTGTTGTTTATTTGTTATCCACTGCTGAAACAGTTTAAGGGGGAGGGGAGAGAAGGCAATATCACATGTGTCATATTTAAATGGTATAATAAATACTATCCATATTAATAACACATGAAAAAATTAATCTATATGTTAATAATTTCGATAGTATTATACACATAGTAAATAGTATTGTATGCAATAGAATAAAATTTTTATTCAAAACATTTATTTTCTTCTTACAAGATTAAAAAAAAATTGCAATGCAGAACTTCTCAATGCAATTTTTTTAAAGTTAATTTCCGCACAAAATCTGCAATGCTTTTGCAAGAGAAAAAAGAACATAGATTTTTTTTTTTTTTAAATTGTAGAAATATCATTTTAAATAATAGTCATAATTTCAAACAATGTCAGAATTTCTAATTTTTTGTGTATGATGTATATATTTCTTTTATTAATTCTATAATGAATACCTCAATTTATTTTACAAATACTAAAGTTGTGTTGTTTTGAAAATCTTAAAACTAAAGATATTTAAATATGGCCCCCCTATATTTCTCAAAAATAAGCAAAATACTAGACAATTAATGAAAAAATTAGATTTAAACAAACAAAATACTAGACTATTTCATAGATAATTAAAAAAAAAAAACTTTTAACTCAACTTTTTACTTTGAATAAACTTCTATTAGTAATCCAGGTGTACTTATTTATTAAAAATACATTTCGTTGAATAGCTTTTTTTCTTTTTTCGATGAGAGTTAATTTAATGGTTTGGTGATTAGATTATAAGATTTTGTTGAAAATGTAGATTATGAAATTAACATAGCAAGGTCTGAAAACAAAACAAAAAAATTGAAAAACAAAATAGAGTAATGAATATGTGGTCAAAAATTAAGTAGTATTTACAAAATATATGCAACATATTCACTAGGAAACCAAGTTAAAACTTGAGTCCAAAAAGACCTGAGAAAATATAGTAGAAATAGCATCACAATTAGAATTAACATTCAGTAAAATCAATTAAGGCTGTTTTTCGAAATCTGTAGTCTCATTAAATGATACTTTTTCTCAAATAATATGCTATTTTCATAACTGTTGTGAGTTTGTAACAATTACCTATCTTTAGATAGCACTTTTTATCTATGTATTTATTCTGAATTTTTTTTTAAAAGGGGAACGTTGAATACTCCAAAAAACCAAATGAAAAGAATAAAAATGTTTTGCTTTCCAAGAGAGATGTGAGTATTGAAATTCCAAGATAATCCGTTATTAGGAAATTAAGTCCTTTCGCGAAGCTCTCAGAAATGTTTATATTGTTGTAATGCTTCAATTTTCTCAGCATACAGCAATATTATTATCATTAAAGCTTATCATATGAAACCAGTTGAATCATAACTTTCTTGTTTTTGCTGGTTATAAATGAAATGAATCATAAAAAAATAAAATGATCATAAAAAGTACTGAAGAAAAAAGACAGAACAAAAAAAAAATTATAACAGATTACATAGAAAGTTTTTGTTTCGAAAGTTTTATGTAGGACAAATATTCAAACCTACGTAAATATGTAGTACTTGTTAAAGCTTCTTTAATCATTTGAGTCTATTTATTAAGGAGATGTTACAATCTTTGTTTTATTCAATAGTGAAAGGGTATTGGTTTCAAACAGCTTTGAGCTGAAGACATAGGTTTCGGAAAAGTGGCAATAATTCTAACTGGTGCTCCACTCGCATTTCCTATTTTCATTGGCATTACATATAAAGTAGCTCCATAAAGAGGTATTTTTTCCACATTTGCCACATTTTCTAATCCAAAAATATTAGCCGCGCATAGAATTCTATGTGTGATGAAGTCTCGAGATCTTCCATTATCAGTTGACAACGTTTCTGTGCCCACACCGTACACACTTCTATTTTCAACTAACCACTTTGAAGCTTCAGCAGACATTCCCGGAAAATGTAACTGAGTAATATCGTAGCCAGGAGTCCCTGTAAAGGACTCTCTGTCTCCCCATCTTTGACCCCATCCGGACTTCAACATAACGATTGTGCCATCAAGGCTTTTACCGGACAATATTTCCCATTTCATCAAGTCTTCGACTTTCACGAGATAGTCTCTGTCGTCTTCAGCTTGTTTGGTAATGTCTATAACGGCAGCTGGAGCAACTAAATGGTTTAGGGGAACCTTATCAATGCACCAACGACCTTTGGCAAAATGGCATGGAGCATCCATATGGGTTCCGACATGCACGCCAGAGAATAAACTTTCCGTTTGAACCCTGAAAGAAAATTTTTTGTTGATTTATTGCCCGTTTTAAACTGTGGATGAAATAAACAATAATTTACGTAAGGTGTACATGTACGGTGCCCGAAAAAAAAGACATCACTCTGAATTACTTCCACACTAATGATTCGATTTTACACGTAGTACTATACTAGTGGGGTAAAGATGGATCGTTTCATGGGTGGACAAATATTTGGAGTCACTGGAATAGAATATTGAAATCGAGAGGTGAATGTAAACAAAAAAAAAAAAAAAAAAAAAAAAAAAAAAAAAAAAAAAAAAAANAAAAAAAAAACTTCCTATCATTCTTATCCTAGTATAAGGCATGGACGTTCTTTCATTCACTGTACTATCTGTCCTTATTGTGGGAACAACGTTGGCCCACATAATTTGGTGAGTGACCAACAAATCTGCCCTTATATGCCTGAATTGACAAAATGTCAACTCAGGTGGGCATTAGAAAAAAAAAATCTTCTTAGTATTGTTGCCACCTCTGGTTTGAAATGAGATTGATGTTGTGAATAATAAAATAAGTTAGTAAATAAAAAAAAATAACAAAGAAATTTTAGTAGTGATTTTTGGAGATAAATGTAGCTGAACGCAATTAAAGAGTTTAGCGGACGAACATATTGAGAGGCATTTTGTGGTGAATTTGGAAAAATCATTTTCAGAATGTATAGAAACATCAGGATGTGATTTAATTTACAAATCAATTTACAACTCATCTTTATTCTAAAAAAAAGGAAGAAAAAAAAAGTTTAAAATATCACTTAAGATTCACTAAATTCCTCTCTTTATATGTATATATACATAAAAGATTTATTGTAAATCATATAGAAAACCTCCAGAATGTGCATTACAATTATGATATCTTTTTTTCAGATCTCCTTTTATTCGTCTCTTTACCCTAGTTTGCCAAGGAGACTCGATCCGAGGAGTAAACATGATTAGCCTTATAATTCTGTATATAATTATAATAATTTATGAAAATATGGTTTTAATATTAAATTTCCTTACAAATGAAGTTAACTTCAGAACAACGCGAAAAGATTTCATTCAGTTCCCTTAAGATATTTGGTTTAACATTGAGAGAAAAAGAAATGAATCATAGAGTGGTTAAAAAACCTTTTTTTAAAAATCAGACAAAATTTTGAGAACAAATGACTGTAAACATATTGCAAAATATAATTCTTATTTTAGATGCTACTGTGAAGGGCAAATTGTATGATTAAAATTAAGTATTTAATAAATAGGATATTTATACCGCACTTTTTACCATAACATATATATTCTTTAATTCTGGAAGTATTTTCTAGTGGTTGCAAATTCGTAAAACTGCTTCCATTTTACTAAACTTGTCAACCACTTTTCAATTTTTTTCTAATCTCCAACAACAACATTAAAACTACACATGAATACAACAGTGTTAACTTTGTAGTTTGTTTTTCAATCTTTTTGAGTTATTTTATGAAAGGGGATTTTTTTTATCTTACCAATATCCTGCCTCCGTTGTTCCATTTTTCCTAACTAAGAGCTGAAATTTGTCTGCTGTCGGCCAGTGTAGAGTGTCGTTGTCAAACACATGAGTCATATCAACCATTTCTAAGGGAATCGGTGCTGCGCCGGCAGGATTGAATAAGCAATGAACAGTGGTGAACAATAGAATCAGTAAGAAATCCATAGCAATATCTCTCTAGCATCTGTAAATACACACGAAATTGAATAAAAAAATATAAAATACTTGGTTTTCTCTAATGACTACCCGTAATATATATTTTCAGAATCCTGGTGCGAGAAGTCAAGACAGTATGCACATCAAATATCCGTACTTACTTAAGACAAATAAACTGTAACAAATCATTATGGGGAAAGGCGACAGATAGCATTAAACCCTGCTTGATTTCTGGTAAGAAACAAAGAGAAGTAGAAAAGGCGATTTGTTTGACAAGCAATCAAATTGGTTTTGATGAAACAAAAGCGAGCTGTTTTAAAAGACAACCAAAAGTGAGATATTTCAAAGATCTAACATTTTTGAAATTCGAAATTTCTTGTGAATGTTCGTCCGATTTTGTTTTTTGCCTTATAAAATTACATTCTTTAAAATGGTGTAAGAATTTGTATTACTTCCAATTCAAAATGTTTCCAACTGTTATTAAATAAAACAATAGTAGATTTCTAGGAAGTCAGAGGAAGGCGCAGAGTTTTTTTGGCTGATGGTCTGAGCAGGATTCAATTTGGATGACAGAATGACAGCCCCGTGTCTGTCAAAGAATTACTGTAACTGAATATAATAATGATGTCTTGGAAATTGAATAATTTAAATTTTTTGATAATTGTCAAACTCGTAATTAAATCCATCTCTAACCCTTTCTCGCCGACTGTCACAAATACGTGCCAGTAAAAACTCGTATCAATCAGGGTAAAAAGATAAAACTGGTAATCAAAGTAGTTCTTTAGCAGTTTATTTGTGGGCGGGGTTATATAATTGTTTAATTTATTTAATTCACCATTACTTTAGTTCAAAATAAAATTATTTAGTTATACTTTGAACTAACTTTGATTATGTATATGATTAAATTAACAATAATTAAAGTAAAAGCAAAGTAAGTATGTCAAATTAGCAGCGCCTGCATTTATGCTACCGTTTTTTAATTAATTTACAACCTGATTTTGATTTTGTACGAATACTTTTATGAATCACATGTCCCCAAGGGGTTAAGCAATGAATCGAAATCCAAATCGACCAAAAATCTAAAAACAAGCAATTTTAAGAGAGATTCTAAAATACCGCGCCTATAACATCTCAATTAGTGATTGGGTGGCTGCCCAACACCTCCTAGAAAGAACAGGCCTCAGCACGGATTGCCATAAATATCCCTTAGTAGTCCAAACGTAATGACATATTTTGTATTTACAACCACTGCGCAGCTCAGTACCCCTAACGTAATGACATCTTTCTTATTTTTCGTCTACTGCGCAGTTAACTTCGTCACATCGGACTACTAATTTGATCCGTGCTGAGGCCTTTCTACTTCTAGGAGGTGTTGGTCAGCCACTGGTGGCTGACACTGGACTTTCCATTTAGGCCGCGTCAGCCACCGGTGGCTGACACTGGACTTTCCATTTAGGCCGCGTCAACCACCGGTGGCTGACACTGGAATTTCNGCTCAATTTATTTTTGATTCCTTTTTAGTTATTCAAGCAAAGAGCTTGAAACATTCATAAAAGCAACTCCATTGCCTGCTTACCTCATTGCTCAACCAAAACTGTTCTAAAATTCCAGATGAATGGGATAGGGGCCGCTTCGCGGCCCAGGTGCCCAATAAAATCTAAACACTAGGACTAGGCTTATGTCATGATAAATCTTCTAAAAAAATGGCAAACTCCGTCTAATATTTGCAGATTTAGTTTGTAGTTATTTACCGTTGTGGCCTGACGGGCAAGACATGCAAAATTAGCGTGGAGCTCAACGGTTAATGTTATTTCACCATATGCTAAATCTGTCTGTACTTCTTCTTGTTACTCCTTTTTAAATTTTATTTGCCAATAATCGTAATAAATCTACCTCGCTCTAAAACAGGGAAATACCAAACTGGTACACTTCTACTCCTCTATTTTTAATCATTGCCTTTGCCATCAGTAGCTTCAGCTCTATCGACAAGGCGTTTAGTAGGAAAACCATTTCAACACGATAAACATCTCTAAAAATTTATCAATTGTTCTTGGTGTTTCTAATTAAAAACTTAAAGCGGTAAAGAATACAGTTCTTTTTAAATAAGTTTTGTTTCATTAATCACGAGATGAAAAAATGTAGAGTAACGCCTATTTTTCACCACTGAATAGAGCAACGAGTGGACCTTCATTTTTCTTTTCTTTTAAGTTTTTTTTTGCATTTTACGAAGTAACAGAAATTCCTGCCAATTAGAGATTTTTTTTTTTAAAAATCTACTGTGATTTTCGGCAATATTAGAGGGTTTTTGCGTTACGTTACGGTTTCCCGCTAGCGTAAGCGCTAATTGAGCTTCATAGCGCATGCGCGAAAATTAATGTAAATTATAACGAATGCCAGGGGTGGCAAATCTTTATACACCAACGTGCCATTTTTTAAAAAAAAATTGTTTAATGAAATCACAGACGTGCCGTCAAATAATTTTGACTTCATGATTATTGGGAAAATAATAATACTAAATACTATCAACTCAAAGCTCTTTATTTACATTGAAAAGAAAATACATTTTACAATGTCTCAGTTATACGCGTAATTCAACTTAAAGTAGCATCAGTGGGACTTCTGTTATTGCAGATTAAATGACAAATAACTTATATTANCAAACTTATTTATATACATTGAATAGAAAATAAATTTTACAATGTCTCAGTTATACGCGTAATTCAACAATAAGTAGCATCAGTGGGACTTCTGTTATTGCAGATTAAATGACAAATAACTTATATTAGGTTGTAAGACATTAGTTTAAGCAGGACTGTTGATTTTTTTGCTAGTTATTTATTGTTAGCTTGTTTTTTATGGTTATTAATTGTTCTTTTAGCATTAATTGTTACTTTTTTTATTAAGAATTGTTTATTATTTTGTTTGCTTTTTGTGAATTTTAATTTAATTCTTACATATGTTTCATAGTGTGTGACATTTGTGAAATAACAATTCATAGTGCAATAACAATTATGATCGGTGGCGTGCCCAAAATATTGTGTCGCTTGCCATTGGTTCGCTATCCCTGACGTATGCCATTAATTGCATTACGTTTGGCAAAACGTTAACCTTAATGTTATTTCTGAAAAGTCGCACATTTTAATGGGTGGGTTGTTTTGATTGCGCTGTGTGCCGCCTGTTAGCGTTTCTGAAAACGTTTGTTCTTTATTTTAACTTTTTCTTTTTTCATTATTTTTAATTTTCAACATACTTTTTAAAATAAGAATAATTTGTTGGAATTGGCGATATATGATGTTATTAAATAGGGTTAAAAATAAGGAAGCGCTTTTGCTGAAATTGCCGAAATTTTTGGCTAGAAATAAACTCAAATCGACGAAATAGGTCGGAGTGAATTTTCTTTGAAATTAAAGTATATGTTTTTAAAATTATACAATTTAATTTTAACTACAGTTCTCTTTTTTTTTCTTTCCTTTTTTTGTCTTATTTTAATATTTTACAATTTGTTATATGATTTGTGATTATTAGAATTAAAAGTCTGGAATGTACGTTTGAATAAAAAAATATTGCTTATTAACAAGCAGTGGTTTACGTTGTAAAAGATTTTATTTTAAACATAATATAAGTTGCAAAGGTATCCTTTTATTGACTAGCTCATTCTGTTACTTTTTTGAACTAAAGCAAATCGATGCTAAAATTGATCGTCTTGGAATAGAACTTTGTAATAGGTGCTAATTGAAGTTTAAAAAAATAATAATAAGCTACATATTAAAAAGCAAACCTAATGGGGAAAAGGCATATTAGTTCAACTTAAGGCCTGGTTTCTTAGGAGAAGAGCCTTATCTAGGCGTCAGCGTAAGTTGACGTACCAACGATGCCAACAAAATACTGTTTCGTAGCTCAGCGTGAGCAGTCGGTCCAACACAGACATTATTTCGCATTGCGCATGCATTAATAATGTAAACAAATATTTATTTTGAATTTGTATTGATTTTGTTATTGTCGATCAGTGCTTTAGAGAAAATATAATGACTTTGTTCAAGAAAAAACACATTATAGCTTAGCTTAATGAAGAAGAAGAAGCTATGTTTAATGTTAAAATCAAAATCTTGGCTGATTTCAATGTTCTGTTGGATATTGTTCGCCATTGCTTCTGTCATTAACGTTACGTTGTAATTCAACAGCAGTTGATTCGGACGTCAGTCGTCGTCCAAACTGAGCGTTCGATGAGGTATGCTGTCTAACTCACAAATTGACCAATTAAGGGTTAGCCCTCGCTTCTAGCTGATGTTTTGTAACGCCGACCTGTCCTAAGAAACCAGGCCTAGAGAGACATAAAAAAATTGCCATACAATTTTTGTCGCTAATAATGTTTAATTAAATTTAGTAATATATTCTAATTGAAACAAAAGAAAAGAGCCATTTACTAGAAAGCAAATTTAGAGATTACCGGTACAATTCATTTAAGAAAAGTGCAAAAAATTGCCATGTTATAATTGAACTATTTATAAAGCCTTTCCGAAGAGAAGACAGGACGAATTAAAAAAGTAAGTGCTTAACTTTCAATATTTATACAGTTATATTTCAATTTTATTGAAAACTTGAATTTAAATTAAGTTTATTCCAATTGCAATATATGCTATACTCATGCGCTTCCTTTAACTGACTGCATTGTGCAATAATTTAAAAAGGAGAGTGCTACAGTGTGAAAATATGAATTTCATAATAAAAATACTATTTCTATCCTCAGTTCAGCAAGAATTAATTGTGAGAGTAAATAGAATCACCCACCTGACACTTGGCATTAATTTTAGCTGATTAATACCAAGGTTATGATAAATAGCGTTAAATTGACTAATAGTTACTAAAGAAAGTTGGCAGAAGTTGATAATGTTGGCGATAAACAGCAAATTTTTTTGTTTACTTCCACTATCAGTTTTCACTGAACAAAAGTGTAGTAGTAATATTTTTATTATGAAATTAAAATTGACACTTTCTTATACTTTTTTTTTAAAATTATTGTACTCCGCGATC